GCAGTTAACTCATTATCTTCTTTAAAGCGAGGTAGTAATAAAAACTAAGGCACAAGATTTTTATGAGGGTAAAACAAATTGGTACTTGTCAACATTTAAAGCAATACCTGGAACCCAGCAGTAAGTGTTTTCTCTTAGTTTTATTATGTTCATTGTTAAAATTATCCCTGCCTTAAGGAAAAAATGCTAATGTATCCAATTATTCTGCTTTGATTGTAACTAGTCCAGGTTACTGAATTGGGGAAAAATAAGGCAGCATCAATTGGCAGCGGGTCATTTTTAGGGTGTTCTAGGTGATGAACTTGATACAGATTTGACCGAATGCACTGTTTCTAATGTTAACATAGAAGTCTGCATATCTGGATGCCATTTGAAGTCTGTCTGATGTGAGTTCTCAGGAGGAAGCTCTTGTATGCTGTGCACAGTATAAAATACAGGGTATGTTGGGTGTAGAAATTTAATAGTGCAACAGCAGGTCTGTTTGGTTAAGGTTACTTCATGATTCATTATTGTAATGATGGCAATTATAGCAACCACGCTTAAAACTTTTTAGAACTATACTATGTAGAATAAAATAATGTAGAATGGAAGAAATCTAAATGTTTCACACAATGGAACTTTCCGCAATGATACTTGAGTTATCAATAAGGGATTGTAGTGCAAAAGGAATCTTAAAGTATTGCTATTCTTTTAAATTATAACGAACAATACTGCTTAAACTTTCCCAGAGTCTCAGAGTATGAGTTTCCAAAGCCCAGATTTATTGTTAACATAAATCCTTCTTGAAAGAATCTAAATATAACAAATCTCATTTTTCCTGATTGTTGTAGAGTTAAACAGGCTAGAAAACAAACTACAAAAAAAACAATAACAGTAAAACATACCATTGAGAATGGAAAGGCAAGCTACAGGTGGGAAGAAGATATTTGCAATGCATATCCAACCCACAAAGAACTCACGCCAGGACTATAAAAGCAACTGTTACAATAGAAAAATCAGTGAAAGCTCTTGACTGGACACTTCACCAAATAGGACACTCATCTGACCAATAATGAGCATCACAATATTAATCATTGGGGAATATAAAATTAAACCACAAAGGAGAAAAACAGAAAAAATGATAATAAGGCATCTCTTCATGCCTACTAATGGCTAAAATCATGATAACATCAAGTTCCGTCAGAGATGCAGGACCATTAGAACTTCATATGTTACTGCTTCATGAGAAAATATGCTATCATCCCAGAAAACTTTTGTGTTGGCAAAAAAGTCTGTTTAGTTTTTTGCCATAAAAGACACATTTTCATTTTCATCAATAACTTTAATGATTTGGATATTTTGAGTATGTCTGCTGCCATGTGCATTGTAGAATGTTGACTGTTCTCAGTTAATGTCTTGATTTGATTGCCGTCAACTTCAACTGGACTGCCCAACCATGGAGCATCGTCCAGGGAGAAATCTCTGGCATGAAACCTTGCAAACCACTTTTGACACATTCCATCATTCAGTCAGTCACAGCACCTTCTCCATATGCTGTACAAATTGGGTTTTTATTTGTTTTTGTTTTATGCATTTCAGTTGCATTTCTACCTTTTTGGAAATAATAAAGCATGATATGCTGAAAATATTGCTTATTTTCTTCCATCTTCAATATTAAAATGGCTGCACAAAAATTCACCAGTTTTGAGAAGCTGATTTTTTTCTCAGAGATTGTATTTATTTTTAGACAGAGGAGAAGGGAGGGAGAAAGAGGGAAATAAACATCAATGTGTGGTTGCCTCTCACTTACCTGCTATGGGGGGACCTGGCCCACAACCGGGATGTGCCCCAACTGGGAATCAAACTGGCGACCTCTTGGTTCGCAGGCCACCACACCAACCAGGTGGACCACACCAGCCAGGACTGATAAGTTTTTTTTTAAATGCACACTGATATGACAGCTGTCACAATACAACATATCAAAATTGTTTCAAGTGAAGTTAAAGACAACTAAGCGCTACTAGAGCCATGGAACAGAACACAACAAACGAGCTTTTTGGCCAGTCCTGTAAATGCATGCTTGTTGGGTCACCGAGCCATTCCAACATAAAGTAAATAAATATTCAAGAGGAGGCAGTGCATGAGCTGCTCCAGGAATGGTCAGAACAGGTGGATTCGATCAGCCTAAACTGCAAACGACCCACAGGTCATGAAGAGTGCAGTGGACAAGTTGTGGTCCAGGTGCAAATGGAATACAGCCTGAACTATAAAAAGGAGATGCAAAGAAGTTTCTATCTCATTACATTCTTATCAAATATTTGCTAGGATTCACAGTATCAACCCGTTAGTATTTTCTCGGAAGTAAAAGTCTCAGAGAAAGAGAAAACGAGTTGACTCCTTCAAACAAGGACAGTGATGTGAAATGATCTCTGCTGTGTTATCATCACGGTGTTTCCAGCATGCACTTTGAATGTGCAATGTGTCATGGAAAAGGTATCCACACAGACAAACACCAGTCTAACTGTGTGCAAAATATACTTTCAAATATTTTCTAAAACAAAAGGTGAGAGAACAGTGTAGAGAAGAATTTGTATGGTTCAAAACAAAGAACATAGATGAAAGGAGTCTCTCTATTACTTTTGTTTGAAACTCTTATTTTCTCTGCAGTCTGGCTTATTTACAGTTTTCTCTACAGTATCCTTCTATGTAATTTTACATGTGAACTCATTACCTTTCAAACAATCAATCCAGTCATTTTAATAGCATACTATTGTCTTCTTTTAACTCCATTTCTCCTTTTATTTTTATGTGGTTTTTCTGTAGAAGTATTAATAGTAAGAAACATTTTTATACATATAACGCCTTTTTCTCAAGGTAGATGCTTGAGCAAGCATTCAAAGAGTTTTAAGTAACCATTTCCAACAGGAGTAAAGCTAAGCCTTGTGAAGACTTATTTCCACTCAATCCTTTTCATCGTCTTCCTTCCTTTTCTCCCTCCTTCCATCCACCCACACAGGCATGCGTGTTCATGGAGCACTTACTGTGTGCTGAACCGTGTTGTAACTCCCGCACCCACCACGGGTCTTTAGCTGACACCGACCACAGACAGCCCTGGATGCAGCCTCCCATGGAGTCAACCTGTGGGCTCAGTGGCACCACAGCACGTGTTATGTGTACAGTCTTTCTCTTGATTTTGTTGCTCTGTTCATTTTCTGGTTTTTAGCTGATTTTTAAACAGACCCTTCATGAAGTTCCACCACTAGAGACATTGCTCTGCTCTGCTACACTCATGAAATACTATTGAGGATGAAATACCATGGGTGTATTTCATCTTTCCCATGGTGGACCCAAGTTTTTGAACCTGCTGTATAAGCTGGGATTTTTAAAAATCTATCGTAAGATCATATCAGGTCATTTTATGAAGCAGGTGCAAACAAACCATCTTCCTCAGTCTTGGAATTCAGAGTTTTGTGTAATTTATTTCCCCAAAGCAGGGAACTCAGATCTCGGGTTCTGTTAGTGCCTCCATTTCTCTTTTTCACTCTCCCCACAACTTCACCGAGGTCACTTCAGTTACCGCATGAAGTGAGCAAGATAAAAAATTCAGGCCCCACCCTTTTCTTTTGGGGACTCCTTGGAGAAGAAGTTTCTGAGAAATGGCGCTGTGGTCAATTTTAGGTTCCATTGTTTATTTAGTTACGTATCTGAATTGCAAAATTAAAAGTGGTCAGTCCTGTATTCCTATTTGGTTCAGAGAGATGTCAAATCTGGATCAGAATCCACAGAATGAAAGTAAATGTGTCGATCTTATAACTGGACACCAATTGGCCTGCCCAGAGTTAAAACACGTCAGGAAAAGATTAACCCCACCCCATTACAGTCAAAGACTTCCAGTGGAAACGTGAGCGCCTTTGAAAGAGTGATTTTCTGATCCAGCCCGGAAGCACCTGGAATATATCATTAGAGATTAGAGGTAGAGACACCTGTAAGTAACCCTTCTCTGCACTCTCCGCTGTTCTCACTCCAGCGTGCGTGATGTTGAGGGAAGGCACCTAAATGCTGCTGTCCTGTCCGGCAGTGGTAGGTCTCGCTTCCTGTCCGTAGGTGGCAGCTCAGCACGGTGGAGCCCAGGGCCGTAATGATGTAGCTGACAGGCAATGATGTGGCTTTCTTTCTTCATGCAAAAGGTAAAGGAGACTAAAAGTCTCCCTCTTTTTAGAAGTTCTAATTTTACATAAAGAATAATAAATGCGAAGTTAGAGAAGTGGAGACTTGTATATGGTTAATGAATGTTTAATATATGCCTGTACTATGCTAGGAGCTGAGAATACAAAATTCCAACACAGAAATAAAATGAGCCCTGGCTTTGCAGAGATATGTAGATTATCAGAATTTAGGTATTTTCGGTTCTGAATGTCAGTTGCCAAGGTATGCTATATATGTATTTAATTTCAGTACATGCTTGCTTCCTGATACTAACACACTCTCTTTTTTTTTAATTTTTATTTTATTGGTTATGCCATTACAGTTGTTCTATTCCCCCCTTCATTCCCCTCCACCCTGCACCCCCCACCCTTATCATTCCCCCTTTTTAGTTTATGACCATGTGTCTCAAGTTCTTTGGATTCTATATTTCCCATACTATTCTTGCCCTCCCCCCATCTATTTTCTACCTACCATCTATGCTACTTATTCTCTGTACCTTCTCCCCCCTTCTCCTTCTCCCACTCCCCTGTTGCTAACCCTCCTTGAGATCTTCATTTCCATGGTTCTGCTCCTGATCTAGCTGTCCTTTTAGCTTGCTTTTGTTTTAGATGTGGTTGTTAATAACTGTGCATTTGCTGTCCTTTCACTGTTCATATTTTTTATCTTCTTTTTCTTAGATAAGTCCCTTTAACATTTCATATAATAAGGGCTTGGTGATGATGAACTCCTTGAATTTGATCTTATCTGAGAAGCACTTTATCTGCCCTTCCATTCTAAATGGAAGTTTTAATGGTCGCTTACTCTTCCCATTTTAGGAGATCGTCAATTTCAACTGTCGGAAACTGGTGGCCACTATGCCCCTGTTTGCTAACGCCGATCCCAATTTTGTGACTGCCATGCTGAGCAAGCTGAGATTCGAGGTGTTTCAGCCTGGAGACTATATCATACGAGAAGGAGCTGTGGGTAAAAAAATGTACTTCATTCAGCACGGCGTCGCCGGGGTCATCACGAAATCCAGCAAGGAGATGAAGCTGACAGACGGCTCCTACTTTGGAGGTGAGTAAGGAGAAAGGCAACTGAGCGGACAGTAAGTTGCTGGGGGATTATCTTCACGAGAATCTGGGAGATGTCAACATGCTGCTTTGTTGGTTTTGACTATAAATTCATATTTGAATTCTGATAAAAGTGTCTATAATGGTATATTTCACACATTAGGCCTTGTCAAGCTTCGTGTTTAAATATCCCTGAACACCAGAAAAAAAAAAGTGGAATGTTTCCTTTAGAAAAAGACAAGAAGTTTGCCTTCCTGTATCTGCAGGTTTATCCTTTAGGGGGAAATTCAAGCAAAACTCACTTTCTCCTCATCAGTGAGGAGCTTGGTAAGTGGTCTTTGTTGAGGGGCCCTCATCACTTCTATTCATCCTTCACAAACTTCATAGTTTTCCAGCCCTTTTGAAGGCTTCTCCACTGGAATCCCTGTATCCACCCCAACTCGGTGTCTCCACAGAACTTCTCCTGGCTTTCCAGGGGCCTGGTCTCAGTCTACCTTGTGCCAGAATTAGTAGGTAATCACCTGTCTTCCTTCAGACGTTAGCTGGCAAGCAATGTATGGCATCTGAGACGCTGTCTCAGGTTGAAGATGCTCAGGCCCCAGCCATCAGACACATTTTTATTTGTTTGTTTATTAGAGACTAATCAACTGGTATATCTCATCCCCTGAACATCGGTAGGGACAGAAACAAAGTATCACATCAAATTAATATGAATTGAGAACCAATTAATGAATTGCATTTTTGATATAATAATTCTAATTTATTATCATTATAACCTAAGTTTAAGAAGTTTTCCTCAATGACAGCTAACACATATTTATTAGAAAAATTTATCATTGTATCAAATGCTTTCATGGAATTTATCAAAATAACCATAAGGTTCTTATTCATCTGCCTATTGCTGAGTAAAACATGCAACTCAAAAAATTAGCTTCTTTCACTTTCCTCTCACCCATCAAGGACCATTTTGAAGTTTGCTTTCTTTCCTGTCTTCACACTCCTCCTCTTGGTCATGGTTCTGGGTTGCTCATCAGCCCCATGGCCATTTGGGAAGATTGTGCTAAGAAGAAGAAGATTAGGAAAAGCTAAGAATCTAAAGAAGTCTACTTTAGAAAGCACAGAGAATTAATGTATGAGTAAGGAGAAGAGAAAGCTATCGAATGCTGTGGAGGGAGTATAAGGGGGTTAAACTATAATGGAAAAATGCAATAAAAAAAGAAAGCTGTGGAGTGAGAAGTAGAATATATAATATATGAGCCTTGTTTGGCACAGGTGGTTTGGAGGTAAAACCTTTTTGAGGCAACTAAGGGAGAGGTATGATAAATATGTAAAAGAAAAGTTCAGGAAGGAATTTCTGGAAGTTCCATTATGCATTAAGAGTGTATTTCTACATTTGACATACAAAGCCTGGGACCTTTGCCATTCAGGATTTATGTGGGTTAAACTATCAGTGAAGTCAATTAAATTAGTGAATGTCCTGGTGTCTGAGATCATTTTGGGGATAAAAACTACTTTATCCTAACATATTGTTTCTTTAACCCATTGTAGCATCTCTCTCTACAAGTGAGATTGGTCTATAATTGTGTTGTTTATTTTGTAATCCCCTAACAACTTTAGATATCAGGTTTTCCTCACTTCCAAAAGGAGTAAGGAAACTTTAAAAAAAAAATGTATTCCACCCTGGCTGATGTAGCTCAATGGATTGAGCAGAGGCCTATGAAGCAAAGGGTCACCAGTTTGGTTCCCAGTCAGGGCACATGCCTGGGTTGCAGGCCAGGTCCCCAGTAGGGGACACATGAGAGGCAACCACACATTAATGTTTCTCACCCACTCTTTCTCCTTCCCTTCCCCTCTCTCTATAAATAAATAAATAAATAAATTTTTAAATAAAATAAAAAATTAAAAAATGTATTTTCTATTTCAAGGAAATTCAAACAATATAACTGCTTACATACAGTTAATATTTATTTGATTTAAACATCAAGGAAGATAATGAAAGGCAGTTGCAATCTAATAATAATAAATCATACTTAGCATATTAGGATTTAGTATTCATAACTCTGTAAGTGTCTAATATGGAGCTGAAATTAACAGAGTGGAGCTTTGTATTATATTAATTTTATATTTGTGTAAACTGAGCATGGCAAGCTCAGAGTTCAGTTAAACAGAAAAGCCAGGCATCCGCCAAAGAATGCTCTTTCCACTTCTGAAATATCTGAATTAACTAACTATAATCAGTGCAGAAAATGCACTCCAAAATCGCGAAATAAGGAGACTCGTTCAAAGAAAGATCGAATTCAGAGTTTTGTGTTCTGTGCCTAACTTGAGTTATTGATGCAATAATAGGGAGTGATCTCTAGATTAACGCAGACTTGTAACTCAGAGAGGTCTTAGTTTTTTTTTTCCCCTTTTATGCGGAGTTGGGAGAGAGCCTGTTGGGTCCACATCCACCCTGCAGTGTCCAGGGTGCCCCAGTTCAGCTCTAGGAGGGAAGTCCAGCAAAGTGAGCATACGTGCCTAAACATGCCTAGCATGTGCCAAGCATGCTCCTCGGCCCTATGGAGCGAAATAGCCAGAACAGGCTAATCATGGAGCTGACATTTTTAGTAGGTACTTATATTTTAGAAAGAAAAACCTAGATATTAAGGAAACCTGGAAGTTACTGAGATATTACTACGCAACATGATCACATGGTGCTAAATGCTTCAGGGAAAACTAACGCAGGGAAGAAGCATGAGGAATGCCCCTCATCCACGGAGCCACATTGAGAGTAGAGTTCAGGCAGGTGGGTGTTGAGGCTTCCTCCTGAGAGTAATGCTGAATGGGATCCAGGGCCTGCTGAGATCCATCCTCATGGATCAGGGAGGTGATGGGGACCCAACAAGTTTGGGTGCTATCGGAGGAGTAGGGTTCTGCTTGTAGGAAACAGTCCCTAGACTCTTTCTTGACTTCTCCCCTTTTACAAATGAGGAAAATGAGCCTCAGAGAAGTTGAACACCCTGGCCAAGGCCCTGTAGCTGCAAAAGGATAGAGCCAGGTTTCACACAGCCAGGAACTCGAACCCACAGCCTGTGCTTTGTCCACTGCAGGTCACTGCTTCCTACGAGGGGGCGTGATGATCCTCAGGGTGTATACGTTAGACATTTGCTCAGCCTCAGCTTCTCTTCAAAGCTGTCCATGGATCTTTTCCATGTGCATTTGTTAAACTGTTTTATAATCTACTCATAAGGCCTGCCTGACCCTCCTAGTAGCCATATTATCAATATATTATCCACTAAAATAGAATACCATTAATATAACTCATTAAAATTTCAAATGCTGTATTTTTATATTCAATAGTTCACAATTTTCTAGATATGTTCTGTTTTTCTAACGTAACATATTTCATAGTTGTTATATCTCCTTCCACTCACCTCTTGGCAGGCGTTTTTCATTCCACACCAAAGTGTCCTCGTTAATTCAGTCTCTTGACAGCCCTTCTTTCAAAATGGCTGTCCTGCAGTTCTTCCAAAGGTGTAATAATGCGAAGTAAGCCTTCCAGAAGGAGCCTACTTCCTGCAACAGCTGCTGTTGTAAATCATTTGGTATTAAATGCTGCTTAACTGTGTCTAACATTGTGCCAGCCTCCAGGAGTCTGCCAGGAACTTTATATAGCTGATGTGCATATTTAGGAATTTTATGTCCAAAATGCATCTGACCAGATACAGATCACTTGGCATTTTAAAGTCTAGAGCCACAGATTTGAAAAGCCAGATAGGCTGTCCCTGCCGTTGTGATCGTGCTTTACTAGTAAGAGACCGAACACCTGCTGATCTCTAGTCAACAGTTCCCTTCACCTCTACTGTGTTGTATGTTTCTAAAAGCTGATGCTGATTTTTGAGAAGGTGTGAGGAATCTGTTGATGATAAATTCACAACTCAATTAGCTCAGTGCTCCCATTATATTTATGAGGAAGAGGAGGCAGCAGCAAAGAAATACAATGAGTCGCGTTGTTCTTGCTTTCTTTCTCTTCCTTATCTGTTCTCTTCTTAGGCCAGGCTAAAGAAATATGTGTTTCAATACTGTTACGTCAACTCTGATGGATCTTTTTGCAGGTGGTAGCCCACCTACAAGTACCATGTAATGTACAAGCATGGGGTAGCTCAGCCAGGTTATGGGTGGGAGAGATGTTAGTCCCCATCAGCAGCCTCACCGCACTGCCCTAGGATTCTATCAAGTCACGTAGCCATGTGTCTTTATACAAAAGGATTAAATCCAAATGTCCAAGACATTTAGGAGAATCCAGATGAACATTAAGAGGACATTTTATTTTGAAGCCATCATGCCTTCTCTCCTTAATAAAATAGAACAAAAGAAAAGAAATGAAAAGGAGGAGAAAATGGGAAAAGTCCTTGTTGTAATTCTTGGTTCTCATATTCCTGTGGTGCTCACCTGCACCACCTTTGTGATTTTTTATAATTACACAGCCAGCCCATATCTTGAACCTAATAACATAAAATCCCTGTGAGGCAAGTACACTCCTATCTTTATGTCTAATTCTAATTCATGCACTTAATTTTTTTAAATGTGCCTTTACTCAGTTCTTTAATCAATATCCATCAAAAACTGGGAAAAGTCATTTTAGTATAAAGTACAGGATCTTCCAGCCTCCTGAAACAGACCCAGCAGGTTATGATTCACTGCCGAATATAACATTGTTTGGATACTTTTTTAAATGTTCTTCTTCTTTGGAAAACATAAATTGCTGAATTTTGACTACCGATACTCTTTGGTATTGACATTTTACTTGTGTTATTCAAATGCTGATATTTGTAATGATACACTTCGTGTATGTTACTGAGGGAATTTCTGGTAATGAAGAACAGATGGAAGATGTTGTTTTCCATTGCGTAGGCATGGCCGTGGAGGAGGGTGGGAAGCAGGGTTTTCTATCAAGCTGAAGGACAACCCTTTTAAATCAGCACATGCGAGGACATGACCAATAAGAACGGTCTAGGAGAAAAC